CGCAAGACAAGACCCATCAAGACGAGACAAAAACAAGAAATTGCGAGTATTGCAAGAAATTTCTCGCGAGACGACACTCTAATAATTAGTGTTGAAAAATAGTTTCATGTATAATAAAACTTCAAAATAATATTATTTATCAGAAATTAAAATTAGATAATTAGAAAAAAAATCTTCTGAAATCAGAGTTTTTACTTTTTGCAACACTAGAGGCAGTGTTCAAAACAACGCTGATGATCCTCTGATGGCAATTCGTCTTCGGTTTCTGGAAAACTTTTAATGCGTATTTTGGAATGAAATTCGGATAAAATAAGGTTTTTTTCTAATCTGAAAATTCTGGTACATTTTTCTGGATCGCTTAAAATATTTGTTTTTCAAATCAAAACTCACTGATCAACATGTTCCACAAAAAATTTCCGATATGGAGGGAAAAATAAGCACAGAGCAACCATGTTAACAGAAGAATGACTTGTGAACCAGACGATTAGAATTTTGTAAATATTCTGACCATTTTCCATTTCTAGATATACTTTCCACAGGTATCAAGATAATTGAGCTCAAAGATGACGGTGGGCGGGCTTCTATTAGAGGAAATACGGGAGCTTCATAAATTTACAGGCTATTCAGTAATTTCAGCTAGCATGACCAAAACATTCTTTGAAAACAATTCAACATTTTTTTAAATTTTTCATGTTACAGGTAGATGAGAATCTCCAGGAAATCGATAGAAATACAGTACTGGCCATAAAGAATGCGACAACTTGTTTTTTGAAGATAACTTTTTGAAAACTCAACTTTTCAATCCGAATTTTTGGTAAGATTTTTTCAGCACTATCAAAAACTTTTAGGCTAAGTTGGTTTTAATATTCTGCTACAATTTTTTTGAAAATTAATTTTTTTCGAAAATTCATGAAAATGACATTTTTGGAGATCTATATAAAGAAGCTCAAGAAACACCGGAGGTCAAAAACAAAATAAAGGTAACAATAAAAAGTGATTTAATATTTCGTTGGGTATCCTTTCGCATCGATAAGAGCCTTGCATCTACGTGGCATCGACTCCAGGAGCGTCTGAACCACCGTCATCGGGATACTCTTCCAAGCAGCTTCGAGTTGAGCAAACTTTTGATTGGCATTGGATGCTCTGACTCCTTTGAGGCGGCGTTCCAGCTCCTCCCACATATGCTCGATGGGATTCAAGTCTGGAGATTGACTTGGCCATTCTAGGAGGTTCACACGGCGACGTCTGAACCAATTGGCGACATGACCCGAAG